CACCTGTTGATTCTCTAATTTTCCTCGTGTGTAAGCTTTAACAAATTTCAGTTCAGGACATCCGGAATAGGAAAGAAATACAAGGGCCTTTCTGGGCTTAGATTATCCCTTTATTAGAGTAAAAGATTTATAGTTCTAGACATTGGGTTTTTTGTTTAAAGATCTTTCTTCTAACGACCGAATAGATTAGTTTGACTGATCTGTAAAGTTTTTAATTTGGGAGGGACTCAACTGGTGTTTTGTTTATTTTGTTATTTTGCTTTTTCTTCTTAAAAAAACAAATTTCAGTTCGACAAGAAGAATCTGGTAGCTTATAGAATATCTGAGAAACAGCAGTATGATCCTTTACATACCTCAGGTACAAGTATCAGGTCTAGTACAAGCTTGTTTAATACGACACTTTCTGGAAGTCTCAAACCATTTCATGCTCCCAAAGAATGGTGACTATCTTTCTAATTCACATCGATCTCAAATGAAATTTAATTAATGAACACCAAAGAATGTGTGAAGAACAGTTCCTACTCCAAGAGCACCAAAGGCTCTGGCTCGTACTTCAAACCTGTTCTAGTTCCACTCTGTCCCTGTATCTTGATTCCTAGATATCTTAGAATATAACCATAACTTTTCTATTTGTTCCAATTAAACCACTTTCACACTTGTTGGATCCTATAATAACAGATTTCCATTTCCAATTGTCAATATGAAAATTACAAATCCACATAGCTTGAATTGACGACTCAATGTGCCATTAAAGTACTATCTTGATTCAAATATTTTATCTCATTTCTATTGTATTCCTACTCCTATTCCAAAAAATGGGCCTTTGGACCAAACATTTGCATTAAAAAATTACTGGTAACTACTACCAACATCCAGGCTTCATTCAAAAAATGAATTACAAAATTCTATTTTCTTGTAGAATAATTGTGAAGAAAATTGAGAGAAAATATTCTTCCTTTCTTTGATGAATGATTTCCACACATATATATACAAGTCTACTACCCTAACAACCTAACAAATTCTAGAGAGAAACCTAACAAAATTCTGTTTATAAGGACAAATTTGTTGGTGATTCCCTCCATTTACAGCACATAACAGTTGTAAATAACCATTTTTAATCCTAATTTATTTTTCTAATTATTATATTTTCCACACTCCCCCTCAATCTAGTTTACGTATATGTTGAGTAAACCTAGATTGGATATTATGTCATCAAAGGTTCTCTTATGAAGAGCTTTAGTTAGAATATCTACGATCTGTTGATTGGTTGAAATATGCATCCGAGTTATAGTCCCATCTTCTAATTTTTCTCTGATGAAATGACGATCAATCTCCACATGTTTAGTTTTATCGTGATGTACTGGATTTTTGGCCATACTAATTGTTGATTGGTTGTCGCATCATACTTTTATAGGCATATTGTTGAGAACTTTTAATTCTTCAAGTATTCTCTTCAACCATACACCTTCACAAATACCATGAGCGAGCACTCTAAATTCAGATTCTGCACTGCTGCGAGACACAACAGACTGTTTCTTGCTTCTCCAGGTAACCAAGTTACCCCAAACATAGGTACAATATCCTGATGTAGATCTCCCGTCGTTTGTAGAACCTGCCCAATCCACATCTGTGTAAATTTCAACACCTCTTCTGTCTGTTTTTTGAAAGAATAAACCTTATCCTGGAGTTTTCTTGAGATACCTCAGAATCCGATACACAGC